GAAAGGATAGCTTTTTCTTTTTTTGCTCTGTCTTCTTTTCATGTTTGGGGAAATTATTTTATCATTCCTTTCTTCTTATCAATATTATCTAACGTGAATCATCAGTCATTCTAAACTTTATGCACATTTTTTTTGAGAAAAAAAGATTGTTTCGTCTTCTTAAATAGGGGACATTTACTATTACTTTAAAATTATGGTTGCACCTTTGTGATTGTTAATTTGTTCCTTGAATTTTCCTCCCTCCTCCACCTGATTTTTTTTCTTCAGTAGATCTCTGCTTATGAATTATATTACTGGTAATTATTCGACTTCTTTTCTCTCTTTTTCATGGACCTTATTTATTTATTGTATAAACATTATTCTTCTAACTATTTTTTAGTGTTAGTACTGTTATTTCTTCACTTCATTGATTTACATTTCGCCATCACAGTTTGGAGTTCCATTTCTTACATTGTTCACTATGTTTTGTATTAGATGTGCATGCTTGTGTTTATATGTCTGTCACCCTATTCCGTAAGATGCCTTATGTCAATCATTTTGTAGACAGTTTTTTAAACTATACAATTATGATGTTCGGACGAATATATATATATATATTAAATGAAATATTCTTTATATAAAATCCAAACATTTTGTCCTGTTTTAATTTTGGAAATGTTTGATCTTCAAGTATTATTTAATGTAGTATGTGTATTATCGCTGAAGTAAGTGTTTGACTAAACACCTTAACTGACGTTTAAATTATATAATAAAATACTCCCAGTTTGATATCACAAATAACTGTAATGCGATCAGCATAACTAAAATCTAAAATGTACTGGTTTCAAGATCGATATATTTCCCATACAGCTTCACTTAAGGTTCAATTATGTATATGCTATATTAATACAATATACTGCGTTGACTGGTTAATACTTAATTCCGTAATATGTCTAATGGTAATTAGTGGTTTTCATAAAGAGTGAAGTACACGATCTAGATATTGTTATGATATATAACAATACATTTTACTGCTGTTTAAGAGTACTGTTCCATTTATAAATACCTTATATGTAACGTGAATAAATCTTATTTTTTTCCAATATATTATTGACATGAAGCAGACATTGTGTCCAGGTTTGTAAGATGGAAAAGGTTATCTGCGTAATGTGCTATATACACATCGAGTGCGAAGCCTGTAGGAAGTTTGACGCTAATATTTTAAACATTTCATTGATCGAACTGATTTTTCTTTATAACTGACAACCAGCGATCGAAAATAATCAGATAAGATTGAATCCAGTTCTCAGCTACAACTGGGCTAAAATTCTTAGTCAGTCAGTCAGTCAGCTACAACGTAGGACCGGGCACATATATGCATCGGTTCAAGTTGCCATACCTCATTAACACAACAAGATGGACACCGGATTCATAAAAGTAGTCAATTCAGAGGTGGTAAAAAAAGATTGCACATAAGGATATAGTACAGGAAGAAAGAATTAGTTCGTAGAAACAAAGATATGAAGCGATTTTAATCTCTTAGTCTAAGGGAAGACAGAGAGTGTATACATCGACGCCATTGTGATCGATTCTGGATCATGTCACCCAGAGTCTCCAACCATTGGTTACGATAGTCACGCGGACCCCAACCAAGTAGTCTGCATCTACCAACATGGCTCAGACTAGAAGTTAGTGACTTCAAGCACTGATGCCACGTCTTGGTTTGACCGCCCCTAACTTTCTTCCAACCATCCCGAACACCGGTTAGCATTGCACGACGTGGTAATCGGTGTTCAGGCATACGCAACACGTTGCCTAACCATCTCATTCGATGAAGATTCACCTCATCAACTGATTTACCATCATTTCATTATACCCTAGGTCTAACCTCACTATTACTTACCCGGTGATCCCAGCAGACGCCAGCAATATTTCTAAGGCATCTGTGGTCAAATACTAGTAGCTTACGAGTATCTTCTACTCTTAATGGCCATGTTTCGCCGCCGTAAATTAAAACAGAACGGACTGCCGCGCAGTATACTCGTCCCTTAGTTGATAGACGGATATCTCGTCTTCGCCACAGGTGACGTAAGTTGGCAAAATCCAAGCGAGCTTTTCGAATCCGTGCTGAGATTTCGTCAGACACCAACCCATTAGGGCTGATCGGACTTCCAAGATAAGTGAAGTTGTCAACTCCCTATCCTTAGTTCAGGTGTTGACGCAGACCAGTCCTGAAGCAACAACTTGCATTTAGAGGGAGAGAAGTGTATTCCAAACATTCTGGCATTGTTGCTTAGTGCTACCAAAAGACTGCATTTTATCAGCGTCTTCACCAAACAGGACTATATCATCTGCGTATTCTAAGTCGATAAGTGGACCTCCTGGAAGGAGATCAATACCCGAGAATTCAGTCGACGAGAATGTTATTTCCATCAATAGGTCTATGATGAAATTAAACAAAAATGGGGAAAGTGGACAGTCTTGACGGACACCACTTGAGGTTGCAAAAGTAGATGACAGTTCGCCATAAGCTCTGACTCGACTAGTAGTGTTCGAGTAAAGAGTCTTCACAAGGTTTATGTACTTCTGAGGTACGCCTTTCAATGACAGACACTGCCACAGAATCTCGCGGTCTACGGAATTAAATATTGTTTTTAAGTCAAGAAAGACCACCATTGTCGGACGCCGATAATCATGGCTATGTTCTAGAACCTAACAAATGGTGAATATGTAGTCGATGCAGCCACGACCAGGTCTGAAGCCAGCTTGGTTCTCTCGTGTTTGCAGTTCACGAGTCTTAGTTAGGCGTCTGATAATTATCGAGGCTAGTATTTTAGATACTATATTAGTTAAACTAATCCCTCTATGGTTGTCACAAGATGATTTTAACCCTCTTTTATATATTGGGACGATAAGTGATTGTGACCGGTCAGATGGGATAACGTCTAACTCCCAGATTCCAGCTAAAATATTAGTCAACCTAATCGCTAAAATTGGACCACCATCCTTAAAGACCTCTGGAGTCAATCCACCTGGACCAGCTGCCCTTCCTCGTTTCAGATTAACTATAGCCTTTTGAACTTCAACTAGAGTTGGGGGACCTACTTCAATGTTCCATTCACACTGTTTGGGAGTGGAGGGTAGTTGTAGAGTAGCTGAAGGCCAGCTGAACTGTTCTCTGAAATGTTCCGCCCATCGTTCTATACGTCTGGACTGAGAGCAGATGAGGGTGTCGTCTTTTTCCGAAATAGTCTGACTTACACTTGACTTATTAATTCCAGTTTCTTTTATTAGTCTGTAGAGCTGTCTTGTGTTCCCTATAGCCGCCGCCTTTTCCATCTCTTTTGCTTTCGTTGCCCACCATTGCTCACGGTCGTTCCTTAGACTTTTGGTTAACCTAGATCTGATTTGTTTTCGCTCTTCATCGTGTTTAGAGCCTGATGAGATGAGTTTACGAGAATCCATCCATGTTAGACGATGTCTCTCCTTATGCTTAAAATTTGTGTTTGCTAAAAATAAGCGATTGTCTGAGCAAAGTTGCAGCAGACGATCACAATTATCTGTTCGTTGTGCCGGAATACTAAAATACCCACCTAAATGTCTTTCTGTTTGGTTTAAACTACCTATCTGGGCATTAAAGTCACCTGCTACGAGTACTATGTCTGAACGTTTAGCTTTCTGAAGAAGTTCAGATAGCTTTCTGTAAAATTCATCTTTCACTTCATCTGAGCTGCAGTTGGTGGGAGCGTAGGCAGAAACGACAAAAAGGCAACGACGTGTGTCCCTATCCTTCCGAGTTCTTACGGAGCCGTTTAGCCGAACAGCACATAAACGACTGTTGACGGGGATCCACTCTAACAATGCTTGTTCGGCCCTCATGCTTAGTGCTATGCCTACACCTGCCAGTCCACGAGAGCTGGCCGTCGGGTCACTATATACACGGAGGGTGTATCTCGTCGACTCTCCGTTTTGCCGAGGTGAGGTCAAGTGAATGACCACACTGGGATGCTGTATGCGTGTTTCGGAGACACAACACACATCAATGGAAAGAGACTCTAGGGTTTTAGCCAAGGAAGCCTGTTGACCGATTTGACATAGGGTGTGTACGTTGAAGGCTCTAATGTGTAGTTTGGAGCGATGTTTCAGTAGACCTGGGACAGTGTTTTGAGCACTAGAATCGTTGGCTATGGTGACACTTGAGGGGGAAGCCGAAAAAGGAAGTTTAGAGGTGAAAGTAGATGTAGGAGGAATAATAGGAATTGAAGGGGGAGGATGATTATGAATACAGTGGTCTTGAGTGCTGTTAGAGTTTTGAGGGCGTTTATCACTTCTCGGTTGTCCACACCGTGGAAGGGTTGTTCTGGAGGTACCTGAAAAGGATTTGGGAGCGTGACCGCAGTGCCCAAGGGACAACTGTTTGAGGTCGGTCACACACGACCTTTTTATGGGTAATTTTTGTGTTAGCTCCGTACTTGTTGAGACCTTACCGCCGGAGACGGATATCCGTGGGATAAGGCGAGGTGTGCATTTTTAGGGTCGAATTTTTCTAACCCCACCCCTCCTTGTGGGAAGGCAGCATCGCTGTCATGCTGGTTATCTGAAGAAAACACCTTACTGCTGTCACACCTCTGTACAGTCAACAGTGCGACTTCGCCTTTGGACCTTGGGTTTATTGCTTTTAGTCTTACCGCTCTTCAACCGACCTGTCTGGCATGGTAGGATCTTGAGGAACAGTTGTTCCAGCCAGTATAGCTCGGTTGCTTCATCGCGATAGGCAAGCCCAACCACCACGTCAAGGTAGCAACAACAGTAGGGTTAAACCATTGGGCCTCGTTACTTTCTCTTACTTCAGATTGTCTTTTTCAACCTTGTTGAGATTTAAGGGAATTATAACTGTAATTACAGTCCTACTAAGCCCTTTCGATATTTAAATATATTTAAATTAAATAATCAGTTTCAAGTCAAATATCACAATGTTATTTACTGCATACTTTTAAATTGATTTCCCATATTCTTTTTAGCTCTTAATGAACAGATTTCTTATCCAAATATGGTTCAAGTCAATGGAAACTTTACCACTGGTAATAATAATAATCAGTTAATTACTTTGGACGCACCACCAACACCAAGTCATCCAAATGTTCCAATTGATCATATATCGAATAATAGTAATATTGTTGATCTTGGCCAAACACAAAATAATTCATCTTGTAATTCACTTCGACCAGATTCTCTTCTTTCCACGTCAACAACTATAACAACAACAACAAGGGAATCATCTTGTTCTGACTTATCACCGAATTCCGTGTCTTCACATGATTCAGCTCTAGGTGGAGGCAAGTTCCAATCTGACTCTGGACCTCTAAAAACTGTTTGTCCGAATACAATGTAATTGTTCTTTTCGATTTTTGTGTGCATATGTTAGTATTGATTAAATGTATATTGAGTGAATTTGGTAACATTGATGATTAACTCAATGCTCAGAACGTAATGGCTAATAATTCTAGGTGTAGACTTCTGTGGAGTTGCATACTTAAACGAAACATATACGTAATAACCCGTGGTTTTCACTGGTTCCTTAGCTAATATCGATTTGTGAATATGTCCAGAATGCTTTTTCTAGATAGATAATTGTCTGTTGTTTGTTTTATTCGTTGAGTAGTTAAAATACTCATTCACGAGTATCTGACTATCAAATGTTTGTGTCTATGAGAATTTTACTAAGGATTCACAATCATTTCTAAAGATACGAGTACAACATTTGTTTTGTATTAACTGAAGTATATCAACACAATCGATAATGGTAAGTTCATTCATTATATATCCAAACTTTCGACTGTCGGTTCACATGATGTTCGCTGTTGTCGGAGGAGTGGGTTGAAAGAAAGCTAAGGGCAACCAAATCAAGACTTGAGATCAGTCCATGAATCCATTTGTTATAATCTGCCGTTTACGAGACTGAAAATGATGCACAGAACGCCCTATATTCAGGTCCACACCCAGCTACTAAGTGAAAGGATTAAGGGTGAAGGAGGAATTTTATTGGGCTAAACCGATCATGAGCACTCACTAAATGTATGTCTACTTCTTCGAAAACAAAACCATTTCCTGACCACTAACACGCACTTTTCAATTAGATCTTTGGTTTTCACAACGTGGCCTTCTCGTTTGCCGAATTTTGATTGTCTCGCTTGATTGTCGTAACCAGTCTCTGGAAATAATGAATGACATGGTTCAGAGTTAATCTCAATTTAATCAACGTGCTTTAAAATTATCTCCTATTTTTCTGTTTCACTAATTTATTCTTTCTTTTTGAATCATATTATCTATGCTTGATGCTTTCTACTAACACTGTTACTGTTACTACTTCTATTATTTATGTCATTTATTAAGTCCCACGTTGCTTATTACTGATATTTTCAGTTGATAAAATTAGACTGTGAATGCAACTATTTGGTTTTATTAGAAAAGAAATAATTTGCACACTGGGTTTATTAAATAATCTAATGTTTTATTTTATTGAGTCGTTTTGACATTGGAATATATACCTTGCATCTTATCGATTAGATCGAAAATGAAGATGATCTCCATCTACACCAGTGTTGATATTGGTGGCATCGTTTTGTTAGCACAGTTTCAGTAAAAATTTTAAGATAAACGGAATAAAACTGTATGGATGTTCAATAAGTAACCTACGACGACTTATGGTACAATATTTTATAGCTGTTTCGATCTAGATGTTTTGGTTGGGAGCTGAAATCATGATGTTCAAACTGAATGCACCAAGGTATAAATCTACTTATTATGGCCTTATTTTCCTTGTTCAGATAACAGGTCAACTGTAATTGATGAGAAAAAAAGTCAGAAGTATGATAAGTCCTTTTTCGAAAACAAACCGATAATTCAATGATTATAGCTGATTTAATAAGTAAGATGACTGGTGATCGATAAAAATCAGACTGACCTAGAAAAATAGTTTAATACCTATTAGACTGCATAATGTTTCTACTCTTTAGCGCCACATATACCCGAGCTAGGATATGTTTTCAGTGCACAACCGTATGATTATAAATCACAAAGAATAACTGGTTAGAATTTGCTATTAATTGAGTGGGTAAGAGGGACTCTCATATTTTTATATTAGCAAGTACGCATTACATGCACACTTGAAATATACAAATGAAATCCTATGCAATCCACAGCATACACATAAGCATAAATACCATGACTAGAAGGGCAAGATGGTCTCCACTCCCATTCTTCGTATTCGCTACCTGTTCATGTTAAGTATCTCAACCATCTTTGGAGCAAGTATACATTACATGCATACTTGAAATACATAGATGAAGTTGAAATTTACATCCTATAGTATACACAAGCATAGATACATCTGTGTAGGCGGCTCAGGTGGAAAAATTTGTTAATGCAAATTTACGATAGGATGGTAGACTAGGTTACTTTCCTTTTATCGGTCATGTTAGTTCATGAAACACAATCCCTACTATTAATCATGGACTAATGAGAAGGTATGAGTCATATATTATGGTCTACATTTTTATTGCATAATTATTAAAGATTTGAATTGTTTTACTCTCATATTGTCTTAGTTGTAAGCTTTTATTTGATACATAAACTTGTATATTTTATCTTTCCCAAGTTTATTCTTGATTAATTACGAACCTATCACTTAGCTCTCTCCTACTTATGGCGTCGTTATCCTCATATTGTAATTTCTTATTGATTATGAGTTGTCAAAGCTTTTCTATGCACTATTGTATGAGTTGAGTTATAGAATTGGACTACTACAAAGTTGTCTGTATTGTTCTATTCTGGCTATCGGGCAAAGAAGCCTATGAAAACTGTATTCTGACAAGCAGGTGTTAAGTTTTATCTTGGTCTCAACTCAAGGTTGGTTGGCGATGTAAACGAACCATCTTCTTGAACACGTTAAAAGATCCAAACAAATTTTTAGAATTCTTTACACTGCTCTTAGTTAGAGTTAGGTATTCAGGATTAGGATCAGTGGTTCAGGGTCAAGGTTTTCATCATGAACGGACATAAACTATTATGCAAGACTATCAATAGCTGTTTGGATGATTGGATTTCGCCCGAAAATACAAGAGAAGCTATCTAATTAGTTCTGCTATAAAATTTAGTGTCACCGAGTTGAGGTTTGCTTCAGGATAAAAGTTCTAGGGTTAGGATTTAAGGATGGTGTTGATTTGTCTGTCATATGCAATCTTAAGAAGCAATTTGACATCTGACACATTTTACACTATCATCTTTAATTTATAATTACAAGAAACGTTTCCATTATAAATGTCTTCAGCGGTGTATAAAGGCATTTCTACTGCTCTTTATGCGTGAGGATAAACTCAACACCTATTCTCACTTTTGACTTTGAACCTGGCAACCAACCAAAATGAAGTGGGAATTATTAGTTACACTATCATAATCCATGATAGGGGGCGTGTTTCTTGCTGTGTCATTTTTGCTGGCTTACATGAAAAATTTCATGTTTTTTCCGACGTAAACACAACTCCATCATGGTACGGACTTTTCAAGTGTAGCCCTTTCAGTCATGATGGAAAAAATTACAACGTATCAGAAATCATACCTAAATTTAATTTAATAATAGAAATGATTCCAAAATATCTTTAATGAAGCTACTAAATAGATGAAAACATACGCGTAATTACTGACTACGATACACTTGACACTGTCGACCTTACCCCTAGCCCATGTTATGTGTGATGATATTTAGATTTCGCTCGGAAGCCCCGAAGTCGCGTTCTTAATTCTGGTTGACTCGTCCGTAAGATATGCTTTTATCACCTAATCTTGTTAGTCGAAGCTTGAAAGGCGCCAGGGTAAATACGAAATCGTACACATGGGGTAGAGAAAATTGTATGCGATTCTTTCTGATAAATCTTATCAAGTGATATCTATCAACGTGATTCTCATTTAGTCACAAATGTATTATTCATTCCTGTTGTGTTGCTACTTCTGCGTTATTTTTTACACAATAAGCAACAAGTTCTCTGTATTAGATTTGTGTTTTTCTTGTTTACTCGTTATGACTAGTTTGATTGACACTGATCGTATATCCTGATAATTCTAACTGAAATTTTCAAAATGAATTTAAAAGTCAAATTCAATACAATTTCACACAGATGTGATATATTTAAATAAAGTATTTATATTATTTTGATAGAAGATTTGGATTCGTTTAATTCGACAGGCACTGTTTATAAAGAATTGACATAAGCTAAATGATTGTTTCACGATATTTCAAGTCAAGTGGAGTTGAAATTGCTAAACATTTGGATTTTGAATCAGTGGCTCACCACAAGGACTGAGTATTCTAGATCCAGTCTTTTTCAGACCGTTGTTTCGCAATATTAAAGAGTCCCACCGTAGTATGAAACAGTTTTTCAGTGCCCCCTGAATTTCAGTAGTCTCCTTGCTGACGAAAACCAACTCTACTTCTTATAAACAACTTTGAACGTTGTCTGCAAAGATTGTTTTATTTAGGGAATACTTGGTATTCTGATAACTTTTGTCTTGACCTATATGGTCCTTTTTTCTAATCACTACCATGTTCCACTTGTGATAATATTATTTTATTGGTATAAAGTTTTAACTTGTTGAATCGAACCGACATTCCAGTAGTCTAAGCACTCAACTTATAGTTACTGAACTACGATTTTAGTAACGATCTTAAAAATGACCATATTTTAAATTACTGAACAAAACTATCTACAGCCTTCATTTAACTCGTATGTGATTCAAAGTTTATTATTTATTAAATTATTTTGTAATGCTGATTGTATGACTTTTTAATTTTTCAATTTTCAATCCTTTTTTTTTCTAAACAAAATATAATAACTTGAATTGTATGTCCTTAATATTTTGACTAATTGTATCACATTAAAATGTGTTCATTGCTGAAATTGACAGTTGGTTTAAAGGATATAAAATGTAATGAACTTTAAGTAAAAATAACTTAATTAGTAATAAAAAGAAATGATTGATATTTTAACTAGAATGATTATTGTTCATGGTTAATATGTTTAATTGTATTATTAACTTTAAAAATCAACATAACTACTAGGCATTGGTTTAGTTATAATTCATAATTCTGCACCATTTAAGTAGTAAACGAAAAAAATATAGTAACAAGGAAATAGAGGTAAAGACAAACAATTGTACATTTGATTTTATTTACATAATATCACAGTGATTATAAAATAATATTGAGTAATTGGAAGAAAGAGCATTATAATAATAAAAGTAATTATTTTGAAAAATTAAACAGTTGTTACATTGGATAAATATATAAAATGAATTAACAAAATATTTTGATGAATGGTCAGTATTACAGTAGCTAATAAGTAGGAGTCAAGAGACG